TTCAAAGAATGTACTCGTGAGGAGTACGTAAAGAACTTATGAATGAATCACTATCTTGATCATTCTTACAACCAAGTCTAGAAACATATATACTATACAATCTAGACTACAAAGAATGTACTTATGAGAAGTACGTAAAGAATGTACTCATAAGGAGTACGTAAAGATTGTACTCATGAGGAGTACAAACGACCGATTCTAAAACCACTCTAAAACTCTCGTGAATATTCTTCAGCCCTCGGTTTTTATTTCGTAGAATCGATAATCTTCCTTGAGTATTGAAGTCGGTATTTATAGGCATTCCAAGCATCCACTCCTCAGCCCATGATCTGCAAGAAAACCAACTACAAGAGCACTCAAGAACATGGGTTAGTGGGTTAGTGGGTTAGTTTAAGGAGTTAGAATAATATTCACAATTAAACCCACTTAAGCACTACTTAGCCCACTAAGCACTATACTTAACCCACTAAGCACTATTTATTCCATAACTAAAATTTAGTTAGAAAATAAGAAAGTTAAAAACAACATGTGAAGATAATCCACGCTCACGTGTTTCACTCTACTTCTTGGAAGTACTTTTAGAATCATCCACACATCAACTGAAATCACTATCTGTAAAACCAACATGTGTAACATAAATATTGTTTTCATAAAAAATACCATAATCAATGGCTCCTTCGACATATCAAAGAATTCATTCGCCGCCTCCCAATGATTTGAATATGGTTTCTCCATAAACCTGCTAATCAATAATACACCAAACATGATATCTGGGCCATTAACATAATACCGGGGCAAGTGGTTGTAAGATACATCAAGTTTCCAATTAAGCTTCGTAACATGGTTGTGTTTACCAAATTTTCTTCCTCTTATTTGCTTAATTTTAAGCCCGTAATGCAAGGAGTTGACACCGGATTTGAGCTCTCCATTTTGAAAATTTTCAAAATTTCTTTTGCATATTATTCTTGAGAAATAAAAATTCCTTCTTTTGATTGATCCACATTAATGCCAAGAAAATGATGCAATTCCCCTAGATCGGTCATTTCAAACTCCTTCATCGTAGAAGCTTTGCATTCTACCAGCATCTCAAAATCATCATCCGTGAAGATTAAATCATCAACATAAAGACTCACCACCTTAAAACCGCCGTTAGAATTTCTTTTGATGCAAAGAGTATGCTCAAAGGACAACGTTCAAAACCAAATTTAATGAAATAATCATTAATTTGACCGTACCATGCACTGGTTGATTGCTTCAAGCCATAGAGGGCTTTCTTGAGTTTGTACACCTTTTCTTCTTCGCCTTTTTTAATGAGCTCTTATTGAAGAAATTCGTTCAAGAATGCTGATTTGACATCCATTTGGTACAATTCCAACCATTTTGAGCTGCAAGAGAGATAATTAAGCGAATTGTATCAGGTTTTGAAAGGGATCCAATACCTCATTGAAGTGATCTCCTTCATTTTGCTTATATCATTTTGCAACAAGCCTTGCCTTGTATTTGTTGATGGAACCATCAATAGTGATTTTTGTTTTGAACACCCATTTCACACCAATAGGAGCTTTGTGTGAAGGTAAATGTGTGAGCTCCCAAGTTTCATTTTTTTCAATGGCTTTGATCTCCTCTTTCATCGCTTGATTCCATTTTTCTTGTTTTGAGACATCTTCAATAGAAATTGGATCATCTCCAACAAAGAATGCAAAGAAAATAAGAATTGTTACATTCACCTCCTCCGTTTCATCATAGATTTCTCTCAAACTCCTCTTTTTTTCTTGGCGGGGGTGATGGTGAATTTCGTGGAGACTCATTTTCACCATCATTTGGTTGCATTTCTTGAGAATCACCTTCTTCATTTCCAAGGGTCTTCCAAGTTAATGATTCTGAATTTTTTTTAAATAATAAGAGGATTTTTCATCAAAATGAACATCCCGACTTATCACAATTTTTTTTTTGTTTGAGAATTGCAAAACTTGTAAGCTTTTGACCTCTCACTATACCCAATGAAAATGCATTTTTCGTCTTTAATGTCGAGCTTGGTTCTCATAACATTTGGAATGTATGAGTATGCAAGGCAACCAAATGTTTTAAGATGACTAGCATTTGGCTCCTTACCATACCATACCTCATTTGGAGTAAAATTCTCCAAGTTCTTCTTTGGTGATCGGTTGATCAATTAAACGGCACAAGCGACCGCTTCAACCCAAAAGTCCGATGGAATATTTTTTTTTCACAACATCGAACTTCGAACCATATCCATGATTTTTCGATTTTTTCGCTCTGCTACGCCATTTTGTTATGGTGCGTACCGAACCGTCAATTTATGTATGATACCATGGATTCGACAAAATTCTTCAAATAAAGAAGATAAATATTCTCCACCGTGATCACTCCTCAAAGTTTTTATTTTGAAAATGAAAAATTTCTCAACATGGATTTAAAATCTTTGAAGCATGAAAGAGTTTCGGATTTTTCCACAAAGTAGGCCCATATTTTTCTTGTAAAATCATCAATAAATAACAAGAAATACCGATTACCACCGAGAGAAGGAACTCGAAATGGTTCATAAAGGTCACTGTGAATGAGATCTAATGGTGATTTTGATTTCCAATTTGACTTGGAGGGAAATGACTCTCAATGTGACTTCCCCAATTGACATTCTTCAAAAATTCCGTCCATGGCTTTAATGTTCGACAATCCTTGAACAATTGCCTTGTTCGATAAATCCTTCAGACTTTGGAAATTAAGATGCTCGAATCGGTCATGCCATAACTTTAAACCTCCGTCCTTCACAGTTAAATGGCAAGAGACTTCAAAAGTATCAAGTTTGGTCGGAAAATATTATTTCTGGTCATACCGATATTTTCAATGTGTTGATCCTTCTTTTTTAAAATGCAAGAGAAGTCATCAAAAAACATATTGAAAACTTTTCTCATCAAGTGACCAACACCTAGCAAATTACTTTCCAAGTTAGGTACATAGTAAACCTCGGACATTGTTTGGCTTTTCATTATTTTGTTTTGAAAACAATTTCTCCAACGCCTTCTAATGTGTAGGTGTATCCATGGTTAGTTAGCTTCGACAAGATTTGAGAATATTTTTTTATTCCCCGTCATGTGCTTGCTCGCACCTCTATCCAAATACCAAATATTTTCAAAGTTACCATTAGATGCAACCAATAAAGTCTCCATATTTTCGACTTTATTTCATGCATATAACCAACTTTTTTTCTTTTTTCTGGATATTTTTCCCAACAATCTTTGATTTTGTGTCCCGATTTATGAAAAAATGACACTGAACGTAAAGCATTGTACCTTTATATGATCTTCGTCCTCGGCCTCTTCCTCTTTGAAAATTGTTCAGAAAATATTTCTCCTCCACTTTCGCCTCATCGTTTGATTGGGCTTGTCCACGGTAATTATTCTAAGAACTTTTTCCTCCTCGAGTATTGGCCACGACCTCGGCATTGTCCACGGAATGAACCACGGCCTCCCGTGAATGTAACTTGGGATTTTAATGCTTTGTCCGAAGAAGAAATTTGAGGACTTCTTTGCAGGATCCTTGTTCTGTTTGCTTCCAATCGTCCTTGTAAACTCTCTAGATCTTGTAACTCTTTCATAGCCACAACAACATGATCAAATTTCACCGGCAAACTTTGCATAATTTTTTTGACAACCCTTTGGGTTTCCGTAACTTCGCCATTTGATTTACAAGAGAGGTGTTTCTTGTAAAATATTCAACAATTTTTTCGTTTTCTTTCATCTCCAATTTTTCTAATTCAACCCGCAAAGATTGCAAACGAAACTTCTTTACTTTATTTTTCCCGGCATAAGTTGTTTGTATTAGAAGTTCCCATGCCTCCATGGAACTACTCGCCCTGGTTATTCTTTCATAGACGGGAACTTCGATTGCTTGATATAATTGGAAAAGAGCTTTTCGATCTTTTTGTTTCGCTTTTCAATGTTTGCTTTTGTGCATTCGTCAATTGATCCTTATTTTCGGGAGTCTGAACACCGTCTTCGACAACGCTCCAAATGTCTTGAGATTCAAGATTTGAACAAAGCTTCATTAGATTATTCCAATAATCAAATTTTGTCCACTGAAACGGGCTATTAGTGAAGCAAGGTTGGTGGGCATTTTTTTAAGATGGCTCTGATGCCAAGTTGTGGCACCAAGATGAGATAAAATGATTAATACTGAAATTGAGTTTTAGTGAGGTTGTGAAGACTAGAAAAAATATTATTTTTTAAGAGAGAAAGTAATAAGACAGATGTATTATTGAAGGAAAAATACTTTTGTTTTGTTTTTTGTCTTGCTTACAATCATCTCTAGCACTCCATCTTTATAGTGAGGAGTATATTACTCTTCTAATAAATTAAAAGATGACACTTGTACTTACATCTCTTCTAATTCTGATTTAACATGTAAAAAAAATCAAAAGACATTTGTCTAGATATATTTAGAGAAAGTTGCTTCAAATTCACATTTATTCCAACATTGCATCACCCACTTATTCCAACATTGATTCCGCACTTATTGTCACACTCATTCCAACAGTAACTAATTAGCATATATATGAACAAAAATGAAACTTTGATCTTTAATGAATGGGAATTATCAAGCTTGTTTCTATAGAATGTAGTCGAAAATATGAAGATTATAATCCATACATAGATTGAGTAGGATTTCATCTAAAATCATCTATGCATGGGAAAACCCTAAACTCTTCGGAAGTACTGTTTCAAATAATTTTGAATTCAGCTGACATTGGTTACACTTGTTGCACACGGTTTAATGTATCGAATATATATCATTGCTTATCCAAGAACTTTTATTTAAGAACACTTGATATAAAAGCAATCATGATGGAAATGGACTAAACGTTGATTTTTTTTTTTTTTAAAGATGATATATGAAATGGCACTTGCATAGTATTTTAATTTTATATGCGGTTTTTACATATAAATAACGCATGCAATTCACATTTGATGGTATTTTGCAGGATGGCTTCTTTATCAATATATCCTCCTGTTAAGGATATAACCATGTGGTTTATCGGAATGACAAAAAGCATTAAAGATTTGGAAAAAAACTTAGCATATCTCGTGATAGATGTGGTAGCCATTAAATCAGGAATGAGTAGCATTGATAAATCACTGAAATATTTGTCTGTCTACAAAGAGAAGAACGTTAACTACGAATCGGTGGAGCTGAAAATCAAAACTTTGATGCTCAAGTACAAGAAGTTCATTGACACCTACAAACAAGTCACCGAAGGCATCCCAATTATCGGGGATGAGGTAGACGTCGACAATGCAAAAAGGATTATAGATGAACTTGACAAAATAAAGCCGAAGATCTTCACACATAAATTTGTCAAGCGTGGTGAACTGAGTAGAGATATTGCGGAGCTAAAAGTCGAAGCGTCTTCACTCCTTAAAGATATAAACGAGGATAATCTGACAGTTGAGAAGAAACAAGAAGTTCCTCAACACTTGAGAGCTTACGATAATCTTCCAGTCCACAAAGAATATGTCAAGGAGCTTATGGTGCACCTCCACGATCCAAAATTGAAGGTGATTGGTCTCGTCGGCCCAGCTGGGGTGGGAAAAACAAATGTATTGAGGCTGTTGAACAATCAAATAATAGATACTATGTGGTTGCCGGGGGAAACGCGGTTAGACTTCATCCTGGTCATAACTCTTCCCAAAGAACTGGACAAGAAAGAGAAGATTATCGAAACAATACAGGATCGCGTTCTGAAGAAGCTAAAACAGGCTGTACCGGACAACGCGGATGAAAGGGAATTTGAACTTTCTAAATTCCTGGGTGACAAATCATTCATACTGCTCATTGATCAGATCTGCACAGATATTGATCTAAATAAACTGGGACTACCAAACAACGACCGTTGGAAAGTTGTCTTGGCATCCCATAGCCAAAAGGTTATCAACGAGATGGCTAGCACAATAGTCGAAATGGAGCCGCTCTCAATCGATCACGCAATCAACCTTTTTCAGAACATATACGGTAAAATAAATGACGAGAATTTGGAGCTTAAGGCTCATGGAATACTCAAGTGCTGCGGAGGGCTACCACAGGTGATCAAGTTAGTAGCTGTTCATTTAAAAGACAAGAGAAGCTCGTGGGATGGAGTGAAGCGTATTTTACAGAATGACACCGATGCCAAGTTCCTAGGCGCTCCGGATGTTTGTAATGCATACAAAATGGTATATGATAAACTGCACGAGGAGATGTCAGCTGGATGGAATATAAAAAGATGCTTACTCTACGGCCTACTGTTTCCACTCGAGCACTTAATCCACAAAGACTATTTAACAGAGTGCTGGATGTCTGAAGGTTTCAATGATCTGGAAGAAGACGTTGACCAGCGACTGCAAGAAAGTCGAGGCTTGGGAGATACACTATTGAAGACACTTACAGACAACTACTTGCTATTGTGGTGTTCTGACGGGCATGTGAAGATGCCAATTTACTTCAGAAAGTTAGCTTTCAAAGAAGAATACATGGCGAAAGAAAACTGTCTTATTTTGAAGGCATCGCAACGAGGAATGCCGGATAATGCAAACAGTGATTCTACCTTGTTGCAGGAGAGGAACACGAAGTGGGTAACACTTGAGGACTCGCTATTTGAGCATATGGGCGTCGGTCTTCGAGTTCTGGACCTGAACAAAACAACGATCAAATCACTACCAAATCCAGTTACTAAATTCACCAAACTGGTGAGTTTATATCTGAACGACTGTTCTCAGTTGACCGGACTACCGAATGAAGTAGAGAACCTCAAGGCGTTGGAATTGCTTGATGTTCGGGGAACTTCACTTCAAAGTTTACCTGATGAAATCGGTCTGTTGGTTGGCCTTCGGTGTTTGAGGGTGTCGTTTGCCTGTGGAAGCAAAGTGACTCAAGAGATGATTCCTGGTGGCATAATCGACAAACTCAAGAAACTAGAAGAATTCTCTGTTGAGACGTGCATTTCCAATAAACGGTGGAATTCTATTGCTGATAGAGTAGCTGGTGAGCTTGCCAGTTTGGAAAAGTTGAATACTCTTAACTTCCGTTTTCCAACGATAAGTAGCCTTACAACATTTGTTACTGAACGCCAATCCTGGCAAAACAGAAACACACTTGAGCCCAGATATACGTTTAGATCCTTCAATTTTTTTGTTGGTTCCCATGGTTTGCGACATCCGTATGATTCAGATATTTCTGAAACTGGAAAAAAACTCAGATTTTGCACCGGTGAAGAAAATTGTTCGGATAACGATTTTGAATCGATAAAAGATGTTTTGAAGCAAGCCGAAGCTTTCGTACTATTTGGCCATGTGGGTGTTCAGAGTTTGAACGAGTTTGGCTTGGAAAATGTCAGATCGTTGAAAGTTTTGATCGCCGGACGTTGTCATAACTTAAAAACAATTTTCAGAGAAGAGCTTGATGTTGTATTCAAGAGTTTGAAGAAGCTGCAATTATTTAATCTCAACTCGTTGCAATGTATTTGGAGAGGATCGGCCCCGATTCCTCAAGGATGCCTTTCAAAGTTGGAGGTGCTGACATTGTGTGGATGTCCAGAGTTAAAAGAGATTCTGAATCTGGAGTTAGCGAAAGCTCTTTCGAGCTTAAAGCACCTAAAAGTTGAGAATTGTGCCCAACTTGTAACGATTGTCTCTAGTAACATGCACGAACCAGATGATCACCAATCTAATGATGCCCTACAAAAGTTAGAGACTCTTGAACTGAAAAACTTGCCAAAACTGCAAAGTATATGCACGGGTACCTCACCGAACTCGGGTTCATCATTGAGGATAATTCATATAGAAAGATGCGGTGAATTGAGGGATTTGTCTATGATTTTGAATAGTGCAAAAAAGGTTGAAAAAATAATGTGTGAATCCCATTGGTGGGAGAAACTTGTGCTGGGAGATGAAAACAAGGAACATTTTCGGAGTCGTGGGATTGTAGTCACTTTACAACCCTTGTCTGTCGTAGCCGGTGGAGCAGAGTCGTCTTCGTCTGGCTCTGGAAGATCAGTCAACCATTTTGAAGAATCATCTTGTGTATCATGTGCATGTGGAGAAAAGTAATGTGGAAACAGGTACATTATAATTTAAGCTAATAACTAGTGTTGTTGTTCTGTTACTCATCTAATATTAAGTATGTAGCTTCAAAGCTCATTTTTTTTGTTCATTTCTTTTATCTTTCTTCATTTCAGATTGATCATTTGAGCAAAACAAATATTCAACTTTTGTCGAATTTCAGAAAAGAGTGATAGCGCTCATGGATGTATGCGCAATCTACAAGGCTTTGGATTGGACATAATAATTTCAAGAAGCAAAGTCTGGCTGAAGACTAAAAACTTAGCGCTTCTCGGGAGGCAACCCGAGCATTTATCATTTTTTTCCTCGTATTTTTCTTATTTTTAGTGGTTTTTAATTTTCTTAGAATTTATATAAGCTTGCAATCTAATAATTTAATAATGTTTGAATTTTCAGGTCGAAACACCTCTGGAATTTCTTTTTTTTTTTCTAAGGAAAAACTGAAAAAAAAAATTTGCTTGAAAGTGTAAGAGATGGAGGAATACAGCACGTGGAGGATGTTTCAATAATCAAGGTGTATTATATCCTTAAACTTCGTTTTAATTACATTGAGGACAATATAAATTTTAATTTTTGGGGGTGGAAAAACACTTTTTATGTGCTTTATATGTTTTAGAGTGCATGCTTTAGGATAATTTTTTTCATTGTAGTTGTTTTAATTTCGTTTATTTATTGTTTTCTTTAAAAAAATATGTTTGAGTTGAATGCATCGATAAATTGTGTTGAAGAAAGATGCCAATGCTTGATGATGAAATTACTTGCTTTGTTGTAGCTATACTTGAATTTTGGTGAAATTCCGATTCAATGTAATTTAGGAGTGACAAATTGTTGAGAATCATGAATTATGTGTTGCTTTTGTTGAAAATTTTGTTTCTTTAAACGTGGAGTTAATTTATGCTATATCATATGATATTCGATTGAACAACTCACCTTAGGAATTTGCAAAGTGAAGTATTGAGCCGTTGAATGATTTGGAATGTGATTTGGGCCTTCTTTGAACCGTTTGAGCCTTTCAAGCCTACCTTTAACATACTTATCACTAGAACCTTGATTGTGCCTTGGAGAAACGGTGTTCTTTCTTTTAGCCATAATAAAATGGGTAGATTAGATGGAGGATTTCTTGAAAAAATATCCCTTGGAGTTTAGTTGGAATTTTTTTTACGTTTTTCTTCTTCGCAATAAAAAATATAAAAAAATCATAAAAATAAAAGAAAAATAAAAAAAAAAAAAAAAAAAAAAAAAAGAAGAAGAAGAAGAAGAAGAAGAAGAGAACTAGTAGGGAAAAAGAGGACATGTGTAAATATTCAAATAAAACTCGAACCATACCTCAAGAGCAAAAGTGGAGACTTTTGAACTTTTGAGAATCGAGTAGTGTAATAAGTCCTTAGAGGTGAAACAATAATTCAAAAAGCCTAATCTTCAAATCTCGGCGAAAACGCCTCGATTCAAGAAGAAAGAAAAAAAAAGGCATATTGCGTGCAACTCTTTATTCAATAATGAGAAGATCAAAAGGAGAAGAGTAGCCGCTTATATACCCATATTTCCTACCTTGCACCAAAGAGCCCAACAATTTAAAGCCAAAAAGTCTCAATGATCCCAGTAGTTCAATTATTCGATATTAGCAGAGTAGAGAAATTCGGTGAGTCTTTGGAGTCGAATATTATTATGTAAGTATAAATTTTCTCTATTTTTAGATTACAAATATTGGATGTTTAGAAGCGATAACATGATTTTTGGTTCTTGGCAATGGTAAGCAATTAAGTGTCTTTGAATTTTAAGCTTGTGAATTTTCGAGAGGTGTCGAGACAATAGCAAGTTTTGAAAAAGTGAAATTGACCATATTAATATATGTGATGAGATGATGCATTTATTGATTTCGTAGCTTTGCAAGTTGCTAGTATTGCTTGAGGACAAGCAAAAGTTCAAGTTTGGGGGTGTGTTGAGTGTAGATTTTGCACTCAATACGTTTACTTTATGTGAGTCTTTTGTTTAGATTTAATTATATTTGTATTTTAATTGATTGATTTTGTGTTGTATAGGTGAAAAATGAGAATGACGTATCAATGAAAGAAAAAGGATAAAAAAGAAAGGAAAAAGTTGCAAATAAGGAAGAAAATCAAATTGGAAGAAGGAATCTTGCATTAGCTTTGGCAGTGTCCACCATTTTGAGCATATCTTGCTCATACAAATTCCAAATCACCTGATTCAAGTGGCATTGGAAAGCTAACTCAAAGAGCTACAATTTTTATTGCACGCAACATTCCAAACTTCGGACTCACACATGGTCAAAATAGGATTCAAAACCGACAGAAGTGCAGAAAAAGCTTCGGACGACCATCCCAATTTAGTACTAAAATCTGGGGTGGCCCTCCCGTCATGCGAAGTTGAGCAGTAGGCAACGAAAAATGAGACACCGTCTCAGAATGGCCTGGAAACTCAGACGGCCGTCCGAGCCGCGATCCTTTTGATCAACTCTTAACCACTATGTAAACACAATTCAATGGGATCCAAACACAAAATTTTTGGACACCACAAAAGGCGAAGAAAGAAGATCGAAGACTCAAGTGTTGGGATGTGAAGCCCAGGATTCAATGAAAATTCGCATGAGGTTCTAGATTAGCCGGTTTTAATTTTATTAACATGCTTTGATTAGATTCGTTTAAAGCGGAATAAATCTAATCTAGCAACTTACAGTTTTCGCGAGCAGATTCGTTTCTATCTTCGGCGAACAAACGAGGATCCACGTCAAGCCTTCTACCATCGGCTAGTTTTCGCGAGCAGATTCGTTTCTATCTTCGGCGCACGAACGAGGATCCACATCAAGCCTTCTACCGTCGTAAAGGCTGCTGTCCAGAAATTTCCAGTCCTCTTCCTTCACCGATATCTCCGCGACCGTTGATCCGATCGAGAAACCCTTCGGACGGATTGTAGATCTAAGGGTTAGGAAGCTACTGTATGAATTTCGAGCATATCTGACGAATGGTTGATTTATGACGAATTTCTTCGCAGGACTGCTCAGAAAATTCGGGAATTATAGTTTGCTCTAAAAAACCTATAATCTTCTATTGTATATTCTGGATTAATAATTCTTCTACAAGGGTGGACTTGTACTTTGAAGAAATCTAAACCTATAATCAGGAAATTTAGAGAGAAAATAAGAAGAAAAAAATATTCTCATCTCCGGAACGTGAATAGGTCTCCGGAACGTGAATAGGCGTGTAGGAATTCTTGTCCTCTCATCAACTCAATCTCTATTATATAGCACAAGGAATTAGAGTCACACATAGAGAGGATTACATGGAAACAAATCCCACTCCTTCTATAACTCTATATAGTCGAAAATTACAGTCCAATGGGGACTTAATTTTCAGTTATATTAATTCCAATATATAATATTGGTTAAACTTTATTTTCTCGATTAATTAGAAAATCCATTGGGCTACAATAGGGACTAAAGGAGAAAATATAAATCGAGCAACTAATAATTAATTAAATCCAAACTCTTAAAAGAATTCATTTAATTAATAATTAAATAATTATTTATTTTCCACTACCAAATAATTATTAAACTCCCGTTTATATTCTCAAATATTACATTCGAGCTCCGGTCGATCATTACTTAGATTCTCCCCACATTAAGAAATCTTATAACCACCAAATAATTCATTCACTGCTAAATAAATTAAATGGTTTCTTTTCATGAGTCTTACCCGCTTAACTTATTTGAGTATGCCGGATACGAAATCCACCTGGCCAGGACTTGGCATAAACAAATCTTATAAATTACTCAAGGGTTATTATCAATCCCATATTTCAGAGATGTGGATTCCTTTTGATAATTAATTTCCACCTATTAATTCTTAATGTCTCTACCCAACGCACCGGGGGCCATTTGACTCAATATAGGAATCTCTCCCATTGTGACATCAAAGTAGAGATCATCAATTAAATATGTACGTTAATTATCTAGGGATTAGGAGAGTAAGTAATTTACTGTCAACTAGAAATAATACAGTTTCATTTATGAACACTGATGAAACAATTGTTTCACTTTGTCCGGTTCAACACATGCCGGGTGTGCTAGCACAATAAGTCAAAACAATAACTACAAAAGTTATTCTCTGTTTACTGTGATCAAGACCAATCACTTAAATATTGTGCTACAATCTTTTACCTATGGTTAGTCCATTTCCATCTAGATTGTGAACGTTTATCTTTATATTCTAAACGAACTTTCGAAATGATCTTTCTGTGCGCCGTAGCACACCATCTCGAATACTATTAGAATATTAGACTTATGCTTTTAATTAATTGACAAACAATCAATTAAATGCATTTGATGCCCTAGTGCATATTCTCATAAAATGATAATAAACTATTTTATTAATTAAATAATAAAATTATGTAGCTAAAAGCGAGACTTTTAGTCTACTATCCTAACATCAAGCATAGGTTTTCTTATTTCTTTTATGAATTATATTTTGTTTATCATAAGAATTACGAGTAGCTAAGTCTTTATTTCTAGGGTTTTATTCGAACCCTATGTGGGATTTGTGAACCCAATTCTATGATTTTATGCAAGTATTAATTTTAGATTATTTCTTCTACTTGATTTATTAAGTGTATGAACTTGATCACTTTATGTGCTTTATTGTTATTGTTGTACGCATGAATGAAAAGATCGGTTTAGCAATTAAAACTGTGGTAGAAGAGCCTTTGTTGTTTTATCATAGGAATATAGTTAACCTCTTAGGTAGCCATGATTGAGATTTGTTCTTAATGCTTTGTTCTTGATTGATTTGCGTAGGAATATAGTAATTTAGTCTTGATTAATAGAATCATAATACATACGGAAGCGGGTTATGATTAATTTAGCATTTCAGGTTAGTAATATTAGTTAATTGCTTGCATAATTGAGGGAATTGGGGGACCAATAATCACATAGGCGGGAGATAAATTCTAGGCTCGTTTACTTTGATAATCTTCGT